CTTTGTTATAGAGCGGATGTAAATGAGTCTACACCTACACACTAGCGTGAATATAATCACTTCTGCATATATGCAAATATGTCCACACGCTCGAATACCCATAAACACTATTACACATACATGTCCAAACACCGACAAATAAATACAGCTAATTACGAAAATATATTAGCACGATACAATAACAAACATTAGCATAGCAGTTTTAACTCAATACAACTACATATAAATAAATTTAAAAATCCTTTTCAGTTCTACCACTAATCTCTTCCTCTCTCGTCTCCTTCAAAGAACACCTCACATAACATAACATAACATAACATATAAAGCCTTAGACCCATCGTAGAACCGTAGAAATTTCCGGCTCGTTGTAGAAGTAGGAAGTTAAGTGGTCAACATACCTCTGCCTCCAATAACACGGGTTCGTATATGTAATTACCAGCGTCCGAAACAATTACCGGTAGGGTTTGTTGTCACAGGGAATTACCATTAGGTAATCGTGAGCTTTGGAATTAGTGGGTGTTTGTGTATACGTTTTTGTGTGAGTGTACGTGTGTGCTTTTGGTCTTTGGGTATGAGAGAGTATGTGCGTTTATATTTAAGAGAGAATGTGTTTGTGAGAGAGAGAGAGAGAAAGAGAGTGAGAGAGAGAGATAAAGAAAAAGAGTGAGAGAAAGTGAGAGAGAAAGAGAGAGAGAGAGAGAGAGAGAGAGAGAGAGAGAGAGAGAGAGAGAGAGAGAGAGAGAGAGAGAGAGAGAGAGAGAGAGAGCGAGAGAGAGATACATACAGACAGACGAGACAGACTGACAAACAAACATTAAAACAGACAGACAAACAGACAAACAAACAAACAAAAACAGAAAAACCCAAATAACAAAGACGCACAAACGCAAAAGACAGAAAGAAACCGTGCATACAACACAAGATACGAACTCTTTCACACACACACCCACACCCACACACACACACACACACACACACACACACACACACACACACACACACACACACACACGCACACACAACCCCCACACACGTCGATCATTACCAAAGGGCCCGTAACATTACTTCGAGGGCCAATCAAAGCGTTAAGCAGAAACTCCTCTTAGTCTGGTCAGTTATTCAGGGAAAGTCCATAAACACCAGAACAACGTGATAACCCGACGGAGGGAGGTAAGGAGGAGGAAGAGAAGGAGAAAGGGAGAGAAGGAGGAGGAAGGAGGGGGAGGTGGGGGATAGGGAAGTAGGAGGGAGAAGAGGATGAGAAGGAGGAGGAAGGAGGGGGAGGAGGAGGAAAAGAAGGAGGAGGAAGAAGGGAGAGGTGGGGGATAGGGAAGTAGAAGGGAGAAGAGATAGAGAAGGAGGAGGAAGGAGGGGGAGGTGAGGAATAGGGAAGTAGAAGGAAGAAGAGGAAGAGAAGGAGGAGGAAGAAGGGAGAGGAGGGGGATAGGGAAGTAGAAGAAAGAAGAGGAAAAGAAGAAGGAGAAGAAGGAGGGGGATGTGTAAGTAGAAGGAGAGGAGAGGATGAAGGAGGACAAAAAAAACAGGTGCGGAGCAGAAAGAAGAGAAGATGGAGGAGGAGGAAAAAGAAAGGAGGAGTAGGAAGAGAAGGAAAAAGAAGAAAAAGGGATGGAGGAGGAGAAGGAGAAAGAAAGGGAAGGGGAGGAAGAAAAGGAAAAGGAATAGAAAGAGGAGGAGGACGGGAAAGAAGTGGAGAAAGAGGGGGAGGAGGAGGAAGAGGCCGGAAAGAAAAAATTAGAGAAGGAGGAGAAGGAAAGGGAGGTGGAGGAAGAGAAGAAAAAAGAAGAAGAAAGAAAGGGAGGAGGAGGAAGAGGAGAAAAAAGAAGAAGAAAGAAAGGGAGGAGGAGGAAGAGGAAAAAAAAAAGAGGAGGAGGAGGAGGAGAAAGAGGTGGAGGAGGAGGAGGAGGAGGACAAAGACGAGGAGAAGGAGGACGAGGAAGAGGAGTAAAAAGACGAGGAGGAGTAGGAGGGGGGGGGGGGGAGTGCCAAAACGACAAACAAGGATGCAGGTAGATTTGCTCTCCCACTTCCCGGAGGCTGTCGAGGACCTCGGTAATCGCATTCATTATTTATCTATTCTCTATCACTCTTTCTGCTTTGTTGTTAATATCTTTGCCATTGTTGTTATTGCAATTGTTATTAATGACTCCCATCCTCTTTTATAACTATTTATGTCATATCTGTTCTTACTAATGCTATTGTCACTATTGTTGATTCTGTTGGTACGTTACCTTTCTCTCTTTTGCAAACCACTTGCAAAGGGAACGTGGTGTTTACGAAGAACTCTACTGTATCTGTTCCTGTTAAATATATCATTTGTATGCCGTGCAACGTTGATAAAGGTAGCAACCTGAATGCAATAGCTGTTACTTCAGGTATTGCTCTGCAAAATACTCATAGCATTTCAGTATTTTGTTGTTGTTTTTTGGATGAATTGCGTTCTTATTTCATACGTGTTTGTAATTTGTCTTTAGTCTGATAATAATAATAATCATTTAATTTGTGTATCAGTCAGTACGTATTTTATGAGCTATACTTCTACGAGATTTTAAATCACGTTGTTTTATACGCACCTATTACCCTGTCTTCTTGCAAATAATATAGTACAAGTATTGACAGCAT